AGAGGTCCGCGCGGATTTCTCGGATCGGCGCTGGACCCACCTCCCTGGCGCGCGGAGCGCGCCAGGGGCGGCGCCGGAGGCGCCGCCAGGGGGGGTCCAGCGCAGATCCGAGAAATCCGCGCGGACCTCCGAGTTTTTATGTTTATGTCATTCTTCGTTCCCTCCCTCCCCTGCCTCCCGACGCTCCCGCCCTTCCCGCCCCTCCCTCCCCTCCCCCTCCGCTCCCTCCCCATCCCCCTCCCCTCCCCTCCCCTCCCCTCCCCCCTCCCCCTCCCCCCCCCCCACCTAGACACCGCCATCCTCGCCGCCGTCATCGTGCCCGTCGTGGTGATCCTGCCGGCGGGCCTGGGCCGGCCGAGTCCGCTGCTGCGAGGAGGGGCCCCGCGGGCCGACGCGGCGAGCGGGGGGGGGGGGGGCGGGGGGGAGGGGCCGGGGCCGGGCCGTGCGGGCTGCGCGGCGGGGGAAGGAGGAGGAGGAAGGAGGAGGAGGAAGGAGAAGGAGGAGGAGGAAGGAAGGAGGAAGAGGAGGAGGAGGAGGAGGAGGAGGAGGAGGAGGATGGTTTACGCTGCGAGAGGGGGTCTGGGTTCCCCCGAGGCCCGGGCATCCCCGCAGCACGCGCGCGAGCCCGGGGACGGCCGCAGAGACTCGCTCGTGAAGGAAATTGTTTTGGAGGCCTCGCGCGGCAACTCGAGACCCGATTTGCGTCGGGTCCACGTCGGGTTCACGTCGGGCTCACGTCGGACTACGTCCGACTTACGTCGGATTTACGTCGCGAGCGTCGGCCCATAACTTGCGGAACTGACAAATAGACTAGATCATACTACTATTACGCGCCGCGCGAGGCCTCCAGGATTTCCCTCATAAAGAGACGACGGAGGCGAGGGAGGAGCTGGCTGCGGCTCGGGCATCCCTCTGAGATCCTGGCGCGCCTCATAGCTCTTTCGAGCTGCGCGTGTTTCTCGCTCGGTTGCGGGCCCGGGGGCCCTCAGAGATCGACCCGGCTCGAGAGATGGTGCAAAAAAGATGGGGTCCGGGGCTCTGGTCGTGAGTTCTCGCGATGTTCCAAGTTTTATGTCGGGCATATCCTCCTACAGGCGGAGTTTGGACGAAAAATTAAAGATAGTAAAGAAAATCAATAATAAACAAAAATACTCAAAAATTCGTCCCCTGACTATTTTCAGACTATTTCTGAATATTCCTCCTGTAAAGGAACAGGCCCGACTGAACCCAAGTTTACCGAAACGTCGGGTCGCAGGGAGCTGTGGAGGCCTGGTCGAGCCAGGGCACCGACTCTCACCACAGCAAAGCAGGGGGGAGGCGACGCCGCTCTCGGGAGGCAGCCCACGAGAGAGAGGGAGAGAGACGCCTGAGCACCTCACGCCCTGCTTCCGAGAGCTTGGCAGGAGGCATTCCTTGCGCAGGGACAGGATGAGGTTGGCGTGGAAAAGGAAGCGTGCAACATCAATCTCCGGAAAGCACGCTACCCCTGTGAGGCGATCCCCTCGGCGAGAGCCTTTTCTGTGCAGGCCAACTCCCCCGCCAGGGCTTCCTCGGTGCACGCTATCCCAAAGGTGGGGACAGCGTGTAATGAGCGGGCCGGTGGCGCCACATCAAGGGGTGTCTTTCCAACGCCAGCAGTACAAGGGGCCCGAAGAGGCCCCCAAGAGACCCCCAAGAGGCCCAACAGAGGCCCCAACAGGCCCGAAAACATCCAAGAGGCCTTTCAACCGCAACCCCAGTACGGTGGCGGGAAGGGCCGCAGGCCACAAGGCTCCCTGTCTGTCTCTGCTACGACTCCCTCGGCCCACATGGGGAACAACTCCTTCGCCTTCTCCTGCTCCCTTCCACCTTAATCCCCCTCCTTCTCCTCCTCGTATTCGTCGTCGTCTTCAAAGTCGGCGGCACCGGCCGGAAGGCCTTAGCAATCTCCTGTGTTCGTATGACTTTACACCTGGATTCCCCCGATGCGAATATACCATTCGATTTCTAGCGCGCGCATTACACAACAACTCCAGGGGTGGGTCCAACATGACTCCTGTTGTATGGATGACAACTATTGGTGTATGTGTCTATATATATAGAACATAAATAGGTAAAAATAATGGCGGGTAAACGGGTAGACCAAGATATATAAACAAATTGATATACGGATCGAAAACTAGGTGGATACATGGATGCACAAATACAGTCAGATACATACGTACATGCATCGATGGAGAGATGTACGGATGGGCCAATGGAACAGTATGTACGCTGAAAGATGTATATACCTGTGCGTTGATAATGTATGGGGTGATACATCAGCGTCGCAAAAGTTTCGTCATGACTTTGAATTTCCTCGTCTTGCGTTGGCAAGGCAAGATCCCGCCCAGTGGGATTTCTGGAATCGTGTTTTTTATGTCGGGATGTGAAACCATCCCGCTCTAACAGATATATAATATTATATAACTGGAGGACATCCTGGATGAAACAAATCCGGATCTTTGATCCGACCGCTCTTGACCCAGCCCGCTAGGATTCTAGGAGGGAAAGGGGGACAGCTTGGCGCGGTCAGGACAAGGGTCAGCCTTCGCCCGCCCGCTCGGTCGGAAGTGACGGATGAAACCTGCATCATCTTGACGCCCCCATAAAACATAACGAACTTCTGTAACGGCATAGTATACGGCCAGGTATACGAAGATACCCATATGCATAGAAATGTGGATGGCTGCAAATACATATATGTATAGGTTCGCGTAGCTATGCAGCTGTGTGTAGAGTACATAAGACTGCACGCAGTATAAAAGCCGATATGTATACATATAATTGGACAGGTGAAAATATATCTAGACATTGATATATATATATATATATATATATATATATACGATCGTGTAACGAAATTGCGATACGTAGAAGTTGTAAGCCAGATGTACCTGTGTATAATCACATGTACGTTCACACGTAACTCGATGAGTGGACATACAAATACATGAATGTACGGGCCTATATCTATACACGTATATATCTATATATACCTGCAGAAGCAAGGTCGCATACAAGTATACATGGAATCGCATATGGATCCAGATGTACAGCCATTCCGCCTAGAAGGGTGGGCAACCTTCCCAAGGGTACCTAGCATCCTTGCCCCATTCGGTCCATCCTTGGCCACCTTCGCTGGTCAACCTCGTTCGAAGAGTTCAGATGGGCCTCCAAGGCCATTGCATCCTTACCGCCCATCCTTATAGTTGACTGTAATGTGTACGTATATGCATATACAAATAAAGAGATAGAGGTGAGACACGGGAAGAGAAAGATAGAGAGAGAGAGAGAGAAACACCACTCCCCCCTTTCCAGTCCCCCCTTCTGCGCTTGAGCGTGGAGGGTGCAAGGTTGGCCGCTGCCCCCTGCCACTTCCCCCCTGCGTTGCGCATGTGTGTGCGTGCCAAATGAAGAATAGCAGCCACGGCCTCCACCATCTACCCGGTCCATTTTCACTATGCAGAATACGAGAGGGCATCCAGTGCCTCCTCTCACTTCCCCTTAGCATTGTGTGTGGGCGTGTAGCAGAGCAGCCACTCCCCTCCCAAAAAACACGGAAAGCGACAACCCTCTCACAACCCCACACACAACACCAAGGGGAAGTGGAGGTAGCGGTTGCCCTCTCGCATGCTGCACACCCAAAATGGATGAGGGGGAAATGGTTGGCGGGGCAGCGATTGTTCTCTCTCTCTCTCTCTCTTTCTCTTTCTCTTTCTCGTTCTCTCTCTCTGTCTCTCTCTCTCTCTCTCTCTTCTTTTGTCATGTGTTTATTCTCTCTCTCTCTCTCTCTCTTTCACAACCCACACACTCGCAACGTAGACTCGGCAATGATAGGGAGCGAGCGGTTACCCTCACAGCCTGAACGCACACGCGCAGACGAGGAAATGGAAAGGGGGGAGTGGCTGCTCTCTCTCTCTCTCTCATTATCTCTCTCTATCTTCCCTTCTCTCTCTCTCTCCCTCTTTCTCACTATGTCTGTCTCTCCCTGAGCAAACTGAGATATATGATATTGAAATACATAATGGTCGACAGAGAGGGGAGAGAACGACAGAGAGAGAGAGAGAGAGAGCGATGAGCAAACGAGTAAGAGACAGAGAAAAAGGGGGGAGAGAGCGAGAGAAAGAGAGAGAGAGAGAGAGAAAACAAAAAAAGAAAAAAAGAGAAAGAGAAACAAATAAAACGAAAATCAATCAGAAAGCACGGGGACGCTCAGAAACCGAGTCGGCCCAAAAGGCCCAGAAGAATCCCCAAAAGACCCCACGAGGCCCCAAAACAGCCCTCAAAGGCCTCAGAACTGCCTCCTCGAGGCCCTGACAGGGCTCGACGAGATCCCGACGAACATCCAAGAGGCCTCAGACCCACAGCCCAGCCACGGTGGCGGGATGGGCCGAAAGCCATTGAATTTGGGGCCGCAGAATGAGCGAAGCGATCAATATAAGAAGAGGCGCCGTGAAATCTGGGGAGATATCATGGCCCAGGCCATGAGATTCAACCCCCCTATAGTCATCACCCGCCTCTCAGGTGAGCCCTGAATCGAATCGATGAGTCGGATCAGCGATCGAGATGAACCCGATGGGCGGAAATCGGCAGCCGAGTCGGGAGAAGCCGATTCGACGGAAATCGGCAGGCCAGCAGGCCTCCACTGAGAAACCGGAATCCACACCAGAAGATCCGAAATCGCATCGAGAGCGAAAGCCACCGAGACCGTGTCGCCTCGAACCGCGGGAGTCGAAACGGAGCCCCGCCCCCGGATAAACCACCGGCGCCGGGTGTCCGGGCCGCGGCTCGCATCAGGTCTGGCATGTCCTCCTACACGCAGACATTGAAAGAAACATGACAAATAGTCAAACATATGGCATGATAGCAGGAGCAAGAAAAACCCACCCCTAACTACTTCTGGACCAGCCTGGAATATTCTCCCTGCAGAGGGACGTGCCCGACTTCGGGCTCGCGCGGCGGCGGCTCGCGCGGCGGGCCTGCCGCTCTCCGCGCGCAACCGGGCGATGGGAGCCGCCGCCGTCGGCTTTCCCGGGAGGCTGCGCGCCTGGCCGCAGCGGCGGGGGGGCTGGGGGGCGCTTCGGCCCTCTCGGGGGGGGGGGGGGGGGCAGGGAGCCTCCCCAAAGAGGGCTGCTGCGGCAAGTCGGGTGGGGGGGGGCCTTCTGGCGGGCTGCTGCGAGGAGGAACGGCGCGTCTCACGAGCGAAGCCCCTCTCTGCACCCCCCCCCAAAAAACAAGGTGGCGGCGAGCCCGAGGGGGGAGCGAGAAGGGGCGGGCCTCCTCGGAAGGCTCGGAGGTCCCCCAGCCTTCCGAGAAGTGTTCTGAGCCTTCCCCGAAGGCGCGAGGGCTTCTGAGAGGTCCCGCCGCCTTCTGAGAAGGCCTTCTCCTTCTCACTTCCCCCCTCGCTCGCCGCCGACAAAAGTGCCTGCGTGCACGAGGAGGGCTCGAGGAACAGCCGTGGGAGGGCCTGAGGAACACGGAGCCCCTGCCGAGCCCAACCCGTTCCTTGTTTCAGCGTCTTGGCTGCACACCACCCGGTCTGCCAAACGCTGGCGCGCGCTGGATCACTCGGAGGACGGAATTCCGAGGGCACGCGAGGCCCCCCATCGGGATGGTCAGCGGCCTCCCAAGCGAGCGACGAAAAGGAACTACTCGCACGCGAGATGGCACAGCGACCTCACGCCGCGGCTTACGCGGGCCGCCAGCGCAGCACGCTGCGCTGGAGATGAGGGCGCACACGAGCGTCCTCACGCGGGCAGCTTCCGAGCGAATGTCGGCGAAGTCGACCCCGCACTCATCCGTCGCTCGAATGGGGTCCGAGCAGTTGGAATCGAAGGATCGCGCAGCATCCCCTGTGCATCGGCGATGCGGCTCGATTTGGAGTCAGACTTCCTTCACGCGGACGTCGTGCACGCAGCGGCGGTGTGGCGCGATCCTCCGACCCCATCTACTCGGACCCCATTTGGGGGACCTGGAATGATGAGGCCGACACATAGCATGAGGATGACAACGACCATCCGACCATCCGCGTAGGATCGACTCTTCCCAGACATCTGACTTCTCGAACAGATTGAGACGGCCGGCGTTTTCATAATGTTGGGCATTCGGAGGCTGGTTTCTGGCACTGGGACCGTCAAAAAACGACTCGAGATGGAAAAACGCCCCCGTGGAAGTGGCTGGTTAGAAGGAGAAGGAGAAGGAGAAGGAGGGGGAGGAGGAGGAGGAGGAGGAGGAGGAGGAGGAGGAGGAGGAGGAGGAGGAGGAGGAGGAGGAGGGGGGGAGGGGGGGGAGGGGGAGGAGGAAGGAGGAAAAGGCGGAGGCGGCGGAGGAGGAGGAGGGGAAGGAGGAGAAGGATGAGGAGGAGGCGGAGGAGGAGGAGGAGGAGGAGGAGAGGGGCGGACCCTGCGAACGCGCAGGCCGGTCGGGCAGCTCAGAGGCACTGAACGACGAATTCATCACCGCACACACACACACACACAAACACACATATACATACATACATACATACATACATACATACATACATACATACATACATACATACATCCATCCATCCATCCATCCATACATACATACATACATACGTACATACATCCATCCATCCATCCATCCATACATACATACATACATACATACATACATACATACATACATACATACACATATACATATACATATACATATACATATATATATGTAAATATATATATATGTATATCAGAGTGAGGGGGTCGAACGGTCATTCATTGTCCCTGGATGCGTGGCTGAAGTAAGGATCCGTGGTGAGGATTCTGTTTGTTGTTGTTGTCGTTGTCGTCGTCCCCCCCGCGACCCGGCCCGCGACCCACCCGCGACCCACCTCGCGACCCACCCGCGACCCACCCCGCGACCCAACCGCGACCCACCCGCGATCCACCCCGCGACCCGCTGGCGACCCACCCGTGACCCACCCGCGACCCACCCGTGACCCACCCGCGACCCGGCCCGCGACCCACCCGCGACCGACCGTCGACCCACCTGCGACCCACCTGCGACCCAACCCGCGACCCCCTACATTGTTTTAACAGGAAAGTCGGCGCCTGCGTCTGGCTCGTTGTATTGCTTGACAAATGTTGCGCCTGCGGCGGGTTTCTTCAGAGCCTCGCAGACTGCCGACGTCCCCGCCGCCCCCTCACTCTTATCCGCAACTGCGGGCTGCTACGTGTATATATATACATATATATATATACACATGTAAATATCTTTATACATATACAAGTGTATATATAATGTACACAGATATGTATACAAGATTGCACTGGCGTTTCGCGCCATACGCCCTGGTCCTGGAAGCTCGGCCTGCCTGCAGGCGGACGGGCGGGAAGGCCGAACAGAAAGCTTCGCGGTAACTTCCTGTTGCCTTTTCTGGCGTAATTTTCTGTTTTGAGCAGGGCTTGCACTTATGGGTTCTCGCTTCTGGTTGAAGGAACTGGGCCGTGTCTTCGGTCTGGCGGCTATGTGGCCACCGTCGCCGCCCCATCGCCGCCTCGTCCCCGCCCGTCGTCTGGGCCTGTCTGACACTCTGGCGTCTATATTGCCGCCGTCGCCGCCGAAGCCGCTCGTCGCCGCCGTCAGATTGCACAACATAGATTGAACCACGTTTACTGCACCGCATACATGGCTCCACATGGATTGTTCCAGATGTACTGCACATTGCGCATCGTAGATTGCACAGCATAGGCTGCGACACATAGATTGCACCACATAGATTGCACAACACATATGGCACCACATGGGTTGCACAACATGTATTGCACCACACAGAATGCAACACGTAAGTTGCACCACATAGATTGCACAACATGTTTTGCACAACGGTGGCTGCACCACAGGAGTGCACCACATCGACTGCACCACAAAGGCTGCTCCAAATATAACGGATTGCACGAACTGCAACGGAATGCGCTACGCACCGTAGATTGCACAACATATTTTGCACCACGTAGGTTGCCGCGCGCGCATGTCGAATTCTTCCCAGCATCTTCATCACCGACGCGATGACGCCGTCATCGTCGCAGGCGTGATCAGCATCGGCGCCCGCACTGGCCGCGCCGTCGACGTTGCCATGGTACCACGCCCGCCCAAGTCGCCGACTCGCACTGAAGTGTCCGCTGGGATGTGCCCAGCGGTCAGCGCCACAGCGGCCTCGTCGGTCGCGCCAAGCTAGCTGGCCGCTGCGCGCGCGTGCTTTGGTCGGCGCGGCCGCAGAGATGCACCAGCCAACGCCAAGCACTCATCGCAACCGTCGCCGCATGGGCGGGATGCTTGCAAGAGCATGGGATGTGTCAACTAGTTTGTAAAAACCAATTGCACCAGATAGATTGCACCACATGGACTGCTCCACATAGATTGCACCACATAGATTGCGCCACATAGATGGCACCCTATATATATATATATATATATATATATATCGGAGGCTGGGGGGTGAGATCGAAGTGGAACGGAGAGCCCCCCTACGGGGAAATCGATTCCGGTTTCGTGTTCGTGCGTGCCGTGCGTGCGGGCGAGGCGAAGCTGCGTAGGCGGGCGAGAGGAAAGTCTCCTGTGGCTCAAGCGCGGCCAGACCAGATGTTTGGCGACCCGGCATTCGGGGCCGCGCGGTGTCCCGCCGCTGTCCCGCTGGTGTCCCGTCGGTGTCCCGTCGGTGTCCTGCGGTGTCCCGTCGGTGTCCCGTCGTGAGATCGAGTGAGATCGATAGTGAGATCAATCGTGGGATCGATAGTGCGATCGGTAGTGAGATCGATAGTGAGATCGATCGTGAGATCGATAGTGAGATCGATAGTGATTTCGATTGTGAGATCGATAGTGAGATCGATAGTGATATCGATTGTGATATCGATTGTGATATTGATCGAGTGAGATCAATCGAGTGAGATCGATAGTGAGATCGATAGTGAGATCGATCGAGTGCGACGTTGCCCCCCCCCTCACCTCCTTATCACCCGAAGGGTGGTCGTATAAGAGCCCCGCCCTTGCAAATGAACGAACTAAATCTTTATTTTCGTTGGTTCCCATTGCTGGGCCCCTCCCCCCCAATCTCCTTATCACCCGCAGGGTGGTCGTATAGGTATATGTGTATGCATATATATATATATATATATATATATATACTGCTAGAATCGCACGGTTGGGGGTCCACGCTTAAGTGAATTGAATGGAATTAATCATCTGTCCCTCGTGTTTCTTCTTCCTTCTCTTCATTCTCGCCCTACCCTTCGAATTATCATATATCCTCCTGAATCATTTTTTGTTGCGGAGGCTCCTCCGTGCGGAGCCTCTTGGGGGCCTCACCAAAGTTTCAGGGGCTTCTCGAAGCCTTCTGGAAGCCTCCTGGGAGCCTTCTGAGGGCCCCTGGGGGCTTCCTCGGGCCACCCTGGGCATCTTGGGGCCGTCTTGGGCCGTCATGGGGCTCTCTTGGGGCCATCTTGGGGCCCTGTGGGGCCGCCCTTGGGCTTTCTGGACTGCCAGGAAGCCCCTTCGGGTACGCAGCCTTGGGGGCGCATTTCGGGTCTACTGGGCGGTCTCGGACGCCCAGAAGACCGAAGAACGCAGCATTTCCAACATCATGCAAAAACAATCGGGCATCATTGCTTCCGCGTTTGGGAAGCCTCTTGGGGGTTGTCTTTGGGTCGTCTTCGGGCGTCTGGGTGGTGTCTGGGGCCTCGTGGGGCCCTCGGGGAGCTTTTCGGCAGCCCTCCTGACCGACTTGGGCACGCTGCCTAGGCCTGGCAGGGGCTTCCAGGAACTCCGGAAAGCCCGGGGAACCAGCTGCAGGGGCGTCCAGGGAGCCCCCAGGGCCACTGATCCGGGAGGGCTCGTGTTGGAGGGGGGGGGCTGTCTTCTCCCTTTCCGGCGAGTAAAAGCGTACGGAAAGAAACGTGCGTGCGTGTGCGAATCTGCAGACACTTTCACTGGTGCGTCTGGGCAGGCCCAGGGGTGGGGGGGGGATCCCAGCTGAGTCCGCGGGGACTGGCACCAGGACCGATGACCATGGGGCCAACTTGAGCCCACGGCACCAAGCTTCGGACCAGCGTGGGCCGCCAGCTTTCGGCCACTGGTGGCCGCAGCGCGGCCCGCGGCGGCCAGCTTGGGAAAGGGCCCAGCAGAGAAAATCGGCGGCGACCGAGGGCAGGAAGTGGCGGCGCGCACAGGGGGGTGTAGGGAGAGGGGGATGGTTTCTTAGAAGGAAGCTGTTTTTTGAAGGCGCCAGCCTTGCATCTACAGGCAAGGCCCGCGCCTTTTAAGAAGCAGGAATGCTTCTACGAAGCCTTCCCCCCTCCCCCTATCCCCCCACTGCGCGTGGCCGGAGGAACGAGCTGGGGGACCCGAGGGGGGCGAGGCCGAAAGAGGGGCACCCGAGCGACCGAGGGCACCCGAGCGACCAGGGACACGGGCGAGAAGAGAGCATTGGCGGCGACCGAGGGCGCAGGACCGAGCCAGGGACAGCCCGGGACAAGCCCAGAACAGTTGGCATCGAATCGGGAAGTCGGATCATGTCGGATCGGATCGGAACGTGTCTCGAATGAACCGCATCGGCTCAGAGTCGGAATCGAGTCGACTCGGTGGCGCCAGGATGCAAAACAGCGCATCGGGCCGCATCGGATCGCCCGCAAAGCGGAACCGAATCGAATCGGGCCGGCCAGAGCCAGGCCCTGCAGGGACGAACGGGGGGAGAGAGTCGGCGGCGCCCGAGGGCAGGACCGAGTCGGGGTCAGTCGGGGGCAAAGCCGAGCAGAGGAGAACAGCGGGAGCCGAGGCACGGCACACCAGGACTGGGGACAGCCGGAGACGGGCCCGAACGGAGGACTCGGCGGCGACGCAGAGCATGGGGCGCACAAGGACATACTATAGAGGGCAGAAAATCCCCCCCCATAATGATAACCCCGACAAGCGAAGCTGTTCAGTGAACGCACCCAGGGAGGGAATCTCACGGGGGGCCGGTGGCGCGCGGTGTCCCGCCGGTGTCCCGCCAGTGTCCCGTCGGTGCCCCGATGACGATGACGATGATGATGATGATGATGATGATGATGATGATGATGATGATGATGATGATGATGATGATGATGATGTCGATGATGTTGATGATGATGATGATGATGGTGGTGATGATGATGGTGTCCCGATGGTGATGATGATGATGATGATGATGATGATGATGATGATGATGAAGTTGACGATGTTGATGATGATGATGATGATGATGATGGTGATGGTGGTGATGATGATGGTGTCTCGATAATGATGATGATGCTGCTGATGATGATGTTGCTGATGATGATGATGGTGTCCCGATGATGATGTTGATGATCCTGATGATGTTGATGGTGATGGAATGATGATGCGATGACGATAATGTCCCGATGATGATGGTGGTGCCCCGATGATGATGATGATGCTGATGATGATGATGATGATGAGGTTGATGATGATGCTGTTGATGATGGTGATGGTGGTGATGATGATGGTATCCCGATGATGATGATGCTGCTGATGATGATGTTGCTGATGCTGATGATGGTGTCCCGATGATGATGTCGATGATCCTGATGATGCTGATGATGATGGAATGATGATGCGATGACAATAATGTCCCGATGATGATGATAATGGTGCCCGGATGATGATGATGAGGTTGATGATGATGCTGTTGATGATGATGGGGATGATGATGGTGTCCCGATCATGCTGATGTTGATGATGATGACGATGCTGGTGTCCCGATGATGATGATGTTGATGATGAGGTGATGATGAGTTTGATAATGATGGCCCGATGATGGTGATGATGCTGATGATGTTGACGATGATGATGGTGTCCCGATGATGTTGATGGTGATGATGATGGTGGTGACGATGATGATGGTGCCCCGATGATGATGATGATGATGATGATGATGATGATGCTGAGAATGATGATGTTGCTGCTGATGATGATGCCCCGATGATGATGATGGTGTTGATGATGTTGTTCATGATGATGCTCATGAGGTGATGATGATGATGGTGGTGTCCCGATGATGATGATGGTGTCCCGATGATGATGGTCATGGTGATGATGGTGACGATGATGGTGTCCCGACGATGATGATGGTGATGATGATGTTGATGATGATGGTGATGAGGTGCTGATGATGATGGTGTCCCAATGATGATGATGATGATGATGATGGTGATGATGATGATGGTGATGATGATGATGTTGATGTTGATGCCGTTGATGACGACGATGTTGGTGATGATGATGACGTTGATTGTGAGATCGATTGTGATATCGATAGTGAGACCGAATGTGAGATCGATTGTGAGATCGATAGTGAGATAGATAGTGAGATCGATTGTGATATCGATAGTCAGATCGATTGAGAGATCGATCGCATGAAATAGATCGAGTGAGATCGATTGTGAGATCGATCGAGTGATATCGATCGAGCGAGACCGATAGTGAGATCGATAGTGAGATCGATAGTGAGACCGATCGAGCGAGACGTTGGTTGCTCCCCCCCCGAACCTCCTCATCACCCGAAGGGTGGTCGTATAGGTATGACCATGTCGCAGTGTATCGTTCCCGGAGCGGTACGGCCAGAACGCGCGCGCCACGGAGCGTAATTCAATAACAAGTCTTTTCGGCGCGCGCGTCGCCTGTGGGGAGGGGGGCGACGAACCCATAGTCGAAGGTTGGGAGGTGAGATCGCAGTGGAACTGCGAGCCCCCCCCACCAGGAAATCGGTTTCGGTTTCGTGTTCGCGTCGTGCGTGCGGACGAGGCGAAGCTGCGTGGGCGCGAGAGGAATGATGCCGCCGTGGCTGGGGGTTGTGGAGCCAGCTGTCCGCCCCTCCCCCCCCCCCCGCCGCGCGGTGGCCTAGGGTGTCCCGTCGGTGGCGCGTCGGTATCCCGTCGGTGTCGCCGCCGTGGGTAGGGGCTGTGGAGCCAGTTGTCCGCCCCTCCCGCCCCCTAGCGAGCGGTGGCCGGGGGTGTCCAGTCAGTGGCGCGTCGGTGTCCTGTCGGTGTCCTGTCGGTGTCCCGTGTCCCAGAGCAGAGCGGCGCGAGTCAGTGTCCCAGAGCAGGCAGGGCGGCGAGATCGATAGTGAGATCGATTGGGAGATCAATAGTGAGATCCAGTGTGAGATCGATAGTGAGATCTGTTGTGAGATCGATGGCGAGGTCGCTTGTGAGATCTACAGTGGGATCGACAGTGAGATCGATGATCAGATCGATTGTGAGATCGATTGGACGATCGAATGTGAGACCGATAGTGGGAACTGTTGCGAGATCGATATCGAATTCGAAAGTGAGATCGATAGTGCGTTCGATTGTCAGGTCGACGGTGCGATCGAGGGGGAGGTCGATAGTGTGATTTTGTGTGAGAGCGATCTTCGCCAACACGAGCACGTATCACTGGCAACGACCTCATCACAACCACCAAAATTGCCATCAGCCATCAGTCGGTTCCTTCCCCCCCTCCAACTTCATCATCACCCGAAGGGTGGTCGTATGTGCATCAATTTGCTGGGGTGGCGCCGAAGCAGTTCGCGGAGGCTGAGTGAGGGCCACTTCGGTGACACCACCCAGGGCTCGCAAGTGCCTGGCAGAGCCCGGAACCGTGGGAGCGCGAGCGGCAACGCCTGGGCCAGCGGCCCGAGACCCCGCTTGCACGACCGGGGGACAGCTCTGCACGCCTGCAGCGTGGGGCCCGCCTCTGCCCGGCACGCCGGCAGATATTGTTCGTCAGCGGCGAGGCGGCGAAACCCGCTTCAGCGAACAGCTGGGTAGGGGCACTAAGTGGCGAATGGGCCGGCGTGCAAGGAGGGAGGGGGAGGGGACGCTCAGACGCCGAAGAATTCGACGATGAGCAAGCCGGCAAATACACACAGGCCGACCGGCATTTGCCTGCCTCCAGCGTCGGCCCCAAAGCTCGCATCTTCACCGCGGTCAGCGGCCACGGCTCCAGACCCCACATTTGCAGCATCGCCTGGGTTGAGCGGATACGGATCAGCAACCGCCAGTTGGAAGAACTAGGTGGAAACATGCAGTAGGAAGGCGGATGAAGTAGATTGGAATGGGGCCCGCCACAAGACTAACACTAAAGAGCAAAAGCATGACGAGCATCGAAATAGGAAAGCGTTCGAAGTAGGTTGGGATCTGGATCTCCAGAAACATGTACTTTCAACGACCAGCGAGTATTGATGGTAATGGGGACGCCGCAAACACGCCTTGATGCAGAGACTGCAGGGTTCCTGTTCGCGGGCGGCTCCCAGGCTCCGGTTCGGGCATTTTTTCCCCATGCCGCGCAGCTCCCGTGCCGTATGGCACCCCAGCGAAGGGACGTCCAGCCCACAGCGGCATTCCTGACGGATTCGGCGGGCGCAAGCGATTCAGGATGAGGAGGAGGAGGAGGAGGAAGACGAGGAGACAAGGAGGCCTCCTCCTTGCCTCCCCGTCAACGGACACGATGAGAGCGTGCACTTGCAACCGCCGGCCATTCATGGATGATGTGCTCGTGAGGCTCCTGTGGATCAGGGTTCGGGTCAGGAGGCGCCCCTCCCGAATGCCACGGTGTCGACGCTGCTGCAATCGGCCGATCTGCACTGCTCCTTCCTGGCCCGTTTTCGCCCCTAAGACCGGCCAGGGCTCTCAACTCTTCCCGTGGACTTACTTTGCGAAGCATTGCGATGCCGACCCCTACCCTTCCCTAGTGGGCCGAATAGTCGTGCATGTATTGCGCCTCCTCCTCCTCGTCCCCGTCCTTGCCCTCATCGTCTTCCTATTCATGTTCCGCCTCTTCCTGGTCGTCGTGGTCGTCGGCGTCGTCGTCGGTTTCCTCTTCCTCCTCCTCCTCCTCCTCCTCCTCCGCCTCCTCCTCCTCCTCCTCCTCCCCCTTCCCTCGCCCCCACGCGGGGCCCAGGGATGGCCCGAAGATGCCCTTCAAGGCCACCCCCTTGCTCCCAGAAATCTTTCTGTTCACTCTGGTTGCCCGCTTTGTTTCACTAGATGTGTCGATTCGTCATTTTTCTAGTCAGCTCTCGTGGGCAAGGGTTTCTGAATGGGCTGTTGGGGAAACTTTTTTTTTTACAGCCGCAGGCGGAAGCGCCGGCGGCGAGGGGTCACGGTCGGGCTGCGGCCGTGATGAATTACCCGGGCGCGCGCGGGGGCCGCGGATCAGGCGGCGGGGCAAGCAGCAACCCAGGGCGTCTGAGAGGCCAGGCGGTCGTGCAAGCTGCAATCCAGGGAGTCTGAAGGGTCAGTCACCCAGGAAGCAAAGCGGACGCGGCCAAAATGGCGCGCCGTACATTCCCAGTCATGGGTCGGCTGTTGGGGAAACGCGAAGCGTGAAGAATTCGCCTTAACGATCGTTTCGTAAAGAGATCTTCATCACGAACACTTGATACATAATCATCATAAGCGCATCAACAGTAAAGAACTCATAGTCGAGAAACCTTAGACACTAACCTTAATATAAGGAACCCTGTAATAAAGAATGGTTGCCACTCAGCGCGGGAACCCTAAGACAACAAACAAACAAATAACTAAATAATCCTTACTAAGGGAAGTCGTGGCGGGGATTCCTTGGTGAGGAGCCCTTCAGAAAAACCCAATGAGGAATCCCGAGCAAGGAGTCCCTAGAAAGGAACCCTTGCTATGCAATCCTGGTCAAAGAACCCTTTAGTGAAGATTTCTTGAATGCTTGACACAAAACCCTGCTACAGAACCCTGAGAAAGGAAGTCTTCGTGAGGAATCCAAAAGGACTATTAATACTAAATCCATAATACAAAACACAGGTAATGAGCGCGTAGTAAGGCATCCCTAGTCAGGAATCCTGAATTAGGACCCCCAGCAACGAATCCTTACTGAGGAATCCCTGGCAACGAATCCTCAACATGAGAAGCCCTACTGGAGCTGGCGCAGCCCTAGTGGAATCCGACTAGGAGTTGGGCGCAGCCCTAACGGGATCCAGTTGGGGCCAACACCGTCACAGCAGGATCCTACAAGAGCTGGGACAGGCCTGCTAGCATCCATCTAGAGTTAGCGCAACTCGGATAAAATCCTAACAAGGCTGGCGCAGTCATACCAGGACACTACTGGAGCTGAGCGCAGCCCTGGTGGGATTCTAGCACAGCTGGGCAAACCCCGGCTCGGATCCTATTACGAGAGCTGGCGCAGCGCTGCTGGGATCCGACTGGACGTGGGCGCACCTAAGAGGATCCGATGTTCAAGGTGGCGCAGCTCTGGCAGGATCCTACCAGAGCAGGCGCAGCCCTAAAAAGATCCTACTAGAGATAGCAAAGCCCTGATAGGATCCTCCTGGGGTTGGCACAGCCCGAATAGCTTCGCACTAGACTTGGCGCAGCCCTATTGTGACCACCAGCACGACTGGACTTAAGACCACCTGTTCGTCGAAATCGCCAATCCCCGCAGGCATAACAAGAAGCCATAATACAGATACCCTTGGACATTTGCTCCCAAAGGGCCAGCCTGACCAAAGACGGCAGACCACGTAGCAACACAACTGGATTTGAGACCATGCGTGCGCCGACATCGCGAACCTCATCACCATCATCATCATCATCATCATCATCATCATCATCATCATCATCATCATCATCATCATCCTCATCATCATCCTCATCCTCATCCTCATCCTCATCCTCATCCTCATCATAATCATCATCATCATCATCAGCATCATCATAATCATCATCATCATCATCATCATCATCATCATCATCATCATCATCATCATCATCATCATCATTAGCATCACCATCATCATGATCATGATCATCATCATCACCACCACCAGCATCGTCATCATCATAGTCATCACGACCCTCATCACCGCAATCGACACACATCACCATCATCATCAACACAACCATCATCGACATAACCCGCAACTGAATGTTCATTGCAAACAACATCATCAGCATCATCGCAAACATCACATGCACAGTAACCTGCATAATAATCGTTATCAGCGTCAGCATCATCGTCCAATATTGACCTCGTGAGTGTTGCGATGGGGGGGCACAGCACAGTTCATTCAGCAAGGCGGGCCCCGCAGGTGCGAAAACAATTTGGAGCGCGACCACAAAGCTTACTTGCGTTCTTGGGCCACCCTTTCACAAGAACGAGGGGATGCTATGCCAAAAATTGCCGGAAAGGCAGATCACACCGCCACCACATCTGATCCTCACTCTGCAGCCTCTAGAAGTGGTGGTGGTGCTACGCACCCAGAAGTTGGAACACACACACACACATGGCTGGACTCAAATGTGGAACGCCCACGAACCACTCGCTGGGTACACATTCGAAGCCTGGAGTGCCTAGCCTCAAAAAAAGGGCCGAGCGCTGGAAAGCTGTCTGTCCGCGTGCGTATCCAGCTCTCGCCAGGTCGACCACGGTATATGACGTTTCGGAAACTCTGAATCCAAAAATGTTGGCACCCCTTGAGATCACATATTCTGCCTCCGCCACGCCGACCTTCCGCCAACTTCCCCATTGGAACCGCCCTCGATTTACTTCCGCCGGCTTCCACGGCCTTCTGCCGCCTTCCGCACAGAAAAAGATGCCAAGTTCTCGATCCATCGAAGGCGAGACCCCTTCTGGAGCGCCTCGTGCGTATCCAGCTTCCTGATAGTCCGCCCCCCCCGAGAGAAGAGCGAGACTGTAATGATAGCACCTCCCCCTAGTCTTCAAGCACAATCGCGCCAAGAGCAGCTGCTCTGCCGGCTGGAATCATCATCTTTGCCAGCTCTGCGGCCAGGACTGGCCCGACCCGCTGGCCAGCGCAGGGAGAAATGCGCCACCACGCGCACGTGAGCGCTGGACTGTACATGACCTGCCGTGAGGCAAGCGGGTCCCGAGGGGATGCGGGTCATGGGCCACGGGGCCTCCCCCCCAGGAGCAGCTCTTTCGCCCGGAGCCGCTCTTACATACTCCCGGCTCCTGTGGGTGGCCCAGGGAAGCCGAAGACGGCGGAAAGCCTCAGGGCCCCGTTCCCTCAGGGCCCGCTTGCTTCACGGCGAATAATTCCACGGCTGGAGGACTCTCGGCCGCGGGCAGCCTGGAGGACAAATGCCAGGCTGTGCCCCCCGCAGCGGGCAGCAGAACGGCAGCCGCCGCGCAGGATCGCATCAGGGACGGCAGAGGGGGGTCAGCGAGCTGGCGCGCTGGGGAGGACTGTTCGCTCCTTATCTGCTCGCGTGTCACAGAGCATGTTTATCCTAAACCCTCGATGCTCCCGCCCTCTGCGTCTTCGATCGTACCCCCCTTGGGCGTGTATCTTCCCCACCTGCCAAGTTTAGTTAGCGCAGCCCCTAGAGCAAGAACGAAACATTGGAAAAGAGATAGAGCGAGGAGGAAGGGAGTGGGGGAAGGGAGGGAGGAGGGAAGAGGGCAATAAGGAAGAGGGAAAGAGAGATGGAGGAAGAGACGGATTAGCAAATGGCTTAGCAAAAAGGGGATGGCAAGGAAGACTGAAACGAGAGCGACTTTCCTTAGCAAATTGTGAGAAGTCGTAATGAGGTCCCAGGCGATATCGTGATGCCTGGATATATTGCATCTAATGCTAGAGCAGGAGCCCGATTATTCAATACGTTGTGACTGAGAATCAGGCGGAAGCCGTTGTTGTTGCTGCTGTTGTTGGTGGTGTTGTTGGTGTTGTTGTTATTGGATACTCATGTCTAGAGAAAATGATGGTTGATTCCCCCCATGTAACCATTGAATCTTTCAATGAAAGTGCTTCTCCAGGGGCTCGCACCCTGATTCATGAGAGAAAGTGCAAGGTCACCAAGCTGGGCCCCTGGCCTCCGAGTTACAACAACAACAACAACAACAACAACAATCACTTTACCCGAACGCTCAGTGTTCTCACCAGTGCCAGGGTTTTCTTGCGACGCCAGCCAATACCCCCACTTTGTGGGGGGGCAATGCAAGCTCTACCAAATATCCACACGACTCTTCGCCACCACCCACACCCAGCTTCCCGCCCTATGACGTTCGGACACTTCACTTCGTGGCCTGCGGACGACCGTGGCTACTACACTGGCGTGGAGTACACACCCACAGAAGTTGTTAAGCCTACGTTCGTACACCCACAGAAGTTGTTAAGCCTTGTTAACCCACAGAAGTTGTTAAGCCTTCCACAGAACATCTGTTGCATATGATGCATATGGTACATGATACACATGATACACATGATACGTACTCGCAAGGGAAGACGTGCAGGTGTTTTTCGAGGACCCAATGGTTTTTGGAGATTTCGGCGTGCGCGCGCAAAAAACGAATGTGTCCCGCATGGTATTATTTGACAGGGATGATGGCCCTGGCAGGTGCGCAACCGTTGTCGCAGAAGTTCGAAAAAGTTGCTCGCAAAAGCCCGTTTGACAGAAATGTTTAAAAAGTGTTGGGTTTCCTACGAATCCGCAAGAGCGCGCGGGATGAGATTTTGACATTTTTTTGTTGAAAAACCATTGGTTTTTTGATGTTTTTATGTTAAAATCGCTCCGAACACTAAGCTTTTGGAAGGATTTCGTCTTGCGCGCGCGAATGTCCACTTTACCTTATTTTTTGCAAGGGATTCTTGAAATTTGATTATATTAGAACAAGAAATGTCATTTTATAGTGTTTTTTGCAAGGGAAAACGGATTACAACAAAACAACCGGATCTGATCACATCGTTTTACCTGAGGCTTCCTCACGAAAATGATGAAAATGTAGCTGCGGCCTAGGCGGCGCAGGGGGGGCGTGCACCAGGGGGCCCAACAATAATTATTCTTTAGAATTAATAATGTTCAACAACAATCATTTACCCGAACGTGGTGTTCTCACCAGTGCCAGGGTTTTCATACGACACCAGGCAATACCCCCACTTTGTGGGGGGGCCGGTTCAAGCTCTACCAAATTTCCAAACGACTCTTCGCCACCACCCACACCCAGCTTCCCGCCCTATGACGTTCGGACACTTCACTTCGTGGCATGCGGACGACCGTGGCTACTATTCAGGGCCCCGCGGCCGACGACGACGGCGTGCGCGCGCGAAGAAAAAACGAATGTGTCCCGCATGGTATTATTTGACAGGGATGATGGCCCTGGCAGGTGCGCAACCGTTGTCGCAGAAGTTCGAAAAAGTTGCTCGCAAAAGCCCGTTTGACAGAAATGTTTAAAAAGTGTTGGTTTCCTACGAATCCGCAAGAGCGCGCGGGATGAGATTTTGACATTTTTTTGTTGAAAAACCATTGGTTTTTTGATGTTTTTATGTTAAAATCGCTCCGAACACTAAGCTTTTGGAAGGATTTCGTCTTGCGCGCGCGAATGTCCACTTTACCTTATTTTTTGCAAGGGATTCTTGAAATTTGATTATATTAGAACAAGAAATGTCATTTTATAGTGTTTTTTGCAAGGGAAAGCGGATTACAACAAAACCGGATCTTGATCACATCGTATTACCTGAGGCTTCCTCACGAAAATGATGAAAATGTAGCTGCGGCCTAGGCGGCGCAGGGGGGCCGTGCACCAGGGGTCCCAACAATAATTATTCTTTAGAATTAATAATGTTCAACAACAACAACAATCAGTCTAAGACTGTTCGCTCTTACTTGCCCGTGTGCCATTCAAAACGAGTTCCCCACACCCTCCATACCCGCCCTTTTTGTCTTCGATCACACCCCCTTTGGGCGGATTCTTTCTCTTTGCGGGGGGCGAGGCTGGGTGCAGCAGTTAGCCATGAACCGGGTGGAGTTGCTAATAAGGACCTTGAGTGCGTCCAGTGGGGAGGGGGAGGGGGACGCCGCCCGATCCACAACGAAGCAGCTGACCGCCTCAGCGGCGAGGACCAGCAGTGGAGACGACGGCAGGGGGGGACGGCGGACGAGGCAGGGCCCGAAGGGCGCCCACCCGGAAGAAGGGTGGAGGGAACCACCGAGGAGTCTGTGTGAGCAACCAGGTGCAGGAGAGCGGCCCAGGCAAGCCCTGTGGGCTGGCCAGGGGAGATGCGTGCACCAAGGCGCGGGGGAAACACGAAGCGGGAGGGCCGTCCTGTGGCTGCCGGGCGCCTGACAGGGCCAGCGAAGATGCGGGGCAGCAGTGAGCTGCAAAGTGGCTGCCGTAAGGGCACTAGCAGCGATAGAAGCCACCGAAGGGCCGGGTCCCCAGCCCGCCTAAAGCGAGACGGGGGAGGCGGCAGTCATCCAGGGGGAGAGAGGCCGTAAGAGATGCCCCGAAGAGGGGACCTAGTGCCTGGGACGGGCCGACAGCCCCAGCCTGGCGCGTCCACGGTGGTATTAGCACGCCAGAGTGAAGTGCGCGGTGGCGGGCCGCCCTCCAGTCAGATGGGCGGGACCCGCCGGGCCCAGGATGTGTCGTTGCAGGCGGGGGCCTCTCCGACGGGTGGCCGAAGGACGACTCTGTCGAGGGGGGTACTGTAGACACACTGGTTGGTCACGGGGTCGCGAAGATCGTATAGTCCGTCGTCCTGGGAGCTCCTGGAGTGGCGCTGGTCAGGGGTGGCGTCGGACTGGGCGCTGGCGTACGAGGGCCAAGGATCGTCCTCGGAGGCGTGTTCCCGTGCAGGCCGGCTCCAGCGCTCGTCGGCTTCCCAGCTGGCCCACCCTGACCATTGCGTCCAGTGGCTGCCGTAGGGGCTACTGCGGCCGGTCTCGCCGTGCCGGCGTGGGCGGCGGTCGCACCAGCCCTCGTTCCAGCTGCGCCCGTCTCTCGCGCCTGTGGCCGGGCGGGCCCTGGGTATGCTGGGGGAGCGCGGGGCACTCCGCCCCGGCAGGCGTCTGAGGTTCCTGTCATCACGCCCGGCGAGTGCGGGGGAGGTACGAGGCTCGGCGGGTGAAGTGGGGGTGCACGGCCTGTCTTCGCGCTCGGGGCTGCCCGAAGAGTGGATGATCACCGCCTGCTCAGAGCTCGATGATGGGGAGAGCGCAACTGGAGTCCCTTTGCGTCCCCTCGGCGCCTCGGGCGGGTCGCTTCGTGGGGCCACGCAGGGGGCCTTAGGGGCACCATCCGCACGTCCCGTAGTGCCGTCGCTGCTCGAATCGGGAGGAGGACCCCCTGGGGCAGCAAGCTGGGCGTGTGGAGCAGCCAGTCTGGGGCTGGTGGCCCGCGCATGGGCGCCGTCAGGGGATTGCGAGGCAGCCCGGCGGTGGCACGGAGGGCTAGTGACACTGCGCGGAGAAGAGGTGGGGGAGGGCCCCACGCCTTCATTCCTGTCCGGGTCTGGGGAGCGGGAGCGGAAGCGGTGGAACTCGGCAGGGGGGTCGACTGCCTCATGGAGTTGACCGCCAGTGCTGATCTGTCCTTCACCCCTGCTGTTCTTCCTGCTGGAGGGGAGGACGATCTGTTTGCACAGCTCCTGGGTGTCACGCATGGGGGCCTCCTGAGCGAGCTGCTGTAGGGACCCAGGGGTGAGCTTAACTGAACTGAACTGCGCCAGGAAGGCGACAAGGGTTTCCAGGGTGTGCCGCAGGGAGGACGGGCCGCGCGGGGGCCACTTGTTGGAGTGATGGAGCAGGCTGTTCAGTATGGCGGGGTCCGTTGATAGCACACAGAATTTTGCAACCACCCGAGCGGCGGCTAGCCGTTTACCCTGCCAATGGATGCTCTTGGGGAGGTAGGAGGGCGCCACCCGTTCGCCGTAGACCAACTTCAGAAAGGGCCAGAGCTGAAGCGGATCCCAGCTCCCGGGGTCGTCGGGACGTACCACACTCTTCCCCTCCACGATGGTGTAGTCCCGCCAACGATCGCCCAGGAGCGGGTGCAGGTCACGTATGAACTCGACTATCCGGACCTCGATGGGCATGGTGTCTGGATCGTCAACTCCCTCCTCCTCCGCGGCTTCCAGGAAGTTGAGGTCGCGGTTCCTCAGTCCAGGCCCTCGGGGGAGGCTCGCTTCAGGCAGTAGGCGGAGCACCTCGTCGGCTTCACTGGACGTGGTAAGTGGTGCGTCCGCCTCAAGGGCAGCACCGTCGGGGCCACCTTCGCCACGGCTGAGCGGGACAATCTGGGCGACGAGGGCCCGGTTGGGTGAGAGCTCGTCGGTTAGTGAGTAATCGCCGGGAGCAGGAGGAGCGGTCCGTGGCTTGTCGAAAGGGACCGGGGGGTGGATTAGGTACGAGTTCTGGTCGAGCAGCTGATCGACTGCACTGGGTTTGACGTCCCACGCATATACGAGGCATGGGCGGCACATGGAGAAACGGTG